CACACACACACACACACACACACACACACACACACACACACACACACAGAGACAGACACAGAGTTAATTACTGTACTGTCAGAGACGACTAATAGCTGAGAACAGTTTATGACATGGTACAGTAGGAAATAGAGGGCAAATATGGCAACAAACAAACAAGCAAATATGTTCAGAAGACCGTTAATTATCACAGCCCCAAAATGAAGGGTGGGGAAATAGCTCGGTTCAGTTGAACAGACAAAGTCTTCATGTTTCTTTAGCCTGACATCCTCAGCTCTAGAGCGGAGGGCCAGAATTTAAGTTCTCATGAAGCAGGTTTTACAACTACACTCCTTAGGAAAGACTCAGCTCCCGTTTCTCTGCAGTGGTAAAGAGCTGACACTTATACCTGATCGCACATGTCCAGACACAACTGTTTAACTGCACTGTGCTAGACATGGCTTACAGTAATCCTACAGAACCTCGTCCAAGTGCAGGCACTCCATGGAACTCTTTACTTACTGATCATTCACAACAAAGATACAATTGTCCTGGGATGGCTGTCCTGTGACTGGATGCTTGCAGGTCACTTTCCTTTCATTGTGGCTGAAAGAATAAAAGAAAAAAATAAATTATGTGTAGATACTTCTAAAATCCTAAATGGTTTTCTAATATTCTAGTAGCAAAGTACCTACTTTAAAATTCTGACATCAGAGTCACTGAACATAACATAAACAAAGTTCATAAACAAAGTTCAGTCTACCAGACATGTTTCTGCTCTATTTACTATTTCGCAGGTGAGATACAGTCTCTACCAGCCTCCTTTAACTTGGGCCCAACTCTGGCACATTTCAGAGAGCAAACGTTAAGTCATATATGGGAGACATGCTAAACAGCACAGAAATACCAGCACACTGAATTCCCATAAAGGTAAATATGTAGCATATTTAAATTAAATTATACTTTGGCAGTTTCACACTTGTATATATCACATTCTGATTATACTCACCAGCCCAGCCTCTCTAACTCCCTTCTGTGCCAATATACAGAACTCTAACAGATACACACTTGCCATTGCTTGAGAGGTAGCAGGTCTCCTGCTAAGTGGGTCCTTTGGCACAAGGACTGGTAACTGGTAACTGATCCTGACCAAAGTTGGGCAGAGAAGACAATGTTTCCCAGTCCTTTTGGTCAGTTTGCCAAAATGAGCTTCCTGCTTATCTGCAAACCTCATGCTCACACATATTTGCCATTCTTTCTCATAGTTCATCAGGTTTGATCTGGTCTGGATTTTACTTCCAGACCAAAAATATCCTCAGTTTTGTTATAATGTGTGCTTGGCAATGTCTTCTACAGATGCTCACATATTAGAGAACGAACTGAGCATAGCACAAATCTATTTTTGCTTACATAATTGTTTTTGATCTGTGGAAAACCCTACAAATGCAGAAAACTACATCTAGCAGACTCAGCCACCAAAACTGACAAATCATACACCTTCATACATCTCCAATACTACATACCAGTTGCTTTTAGTTCATTAGCTATTTATGACACACACCCACACTTGCCAATACCTCGGATCCTGAAGCCCTTCCCGAAGTGCCCACTTCCTCAAACTGTAGTTCCCTTTCAAGGCGAGAACCGCATCATAGCACCCTCTCCATTTACTAATGTGCACACCTGTACCACCGGCTTCATGGGACTTCGTCTTTATTCCTGTGTCACTAAGTTTTATTTGCTTCTAACCCCCCTCCTCCATACACTCTGTGCTTGTCACTGCCTGATTCCCCTGTGATCTGCAGGTAAGTGCGACGCTGTGCATGCCATGAGTGTGCATGTGGGACTTCTAGTGACTTCTTGCTCTGCTTTGTTATTCCTGAGATAGTCTCTCTGAACCAGAAGCCTGATGTTTAGGCCGGGCTGGCTGGTCAACAAACTCTTCAAATCTGTCTTCCTCTGCTTCCTAGAGCTGGGGCTATCGGCATGCTCAGCCATAGCAAGCATTTGTATGTATGCTTTGGGAACTCAGGTCCTCACGCATGCAGAACGAGTGCTCTTAGCTCCCAGCCATTTCCTCAGCCTCAGTACATTTAAACTCTTGGCTGCTGCTGCAGCTCAGTGGTGGAGCACATGCTTAGCATGTCTGAGGCTCTGGGCTTGATCCTAAGACACCAGTCAAAAGACGAAAGAAAACAAAACTTGTCAAGAGATCTATTGGTCGTCATGCATGAAAACAGAAAGCATAAAGTTGCATTTTTGTATGTTGTTTAGATGTAATTTGTGTTTCTAAGAGAATTATACAAAAGAGAATAAAATTCAGGTCTAGAAACAAAACCTACCTATAGTCAGGGAATAAGTTCCCTGTTGTCTTCAAATTCCCAGTAGCAAGGGAGGAAAGCCACGTGTTTCTAAAGATGATGGCAGGTACTTCCTACATATCCAAGTTTCCTTCTAGAATACCTCTATTTGGAAAACAAGACCAGGGGCTCTGTGTGTACGTGTGTGCGTGCGTGTGTGTGTATGTATGAACGCATCAGAAGACATCTGAATGGTATAACTAGAAGCAGTTATTCGAATGCATTCGGTGGAGCCTACAGTATGTTCAACATTGTATAATGTGCAGGAGAGTGGTCCACATCAAAGTACCTCCTAAGAGGTCCCAGTGCTCAGGGAGGGAAGCCTGCCTTACACCACCACAGCCCAGAGGGCTCTACTGAGTGGGAAGCATCATTTCTTCACTATCCTGGCATTTCTCTAGACACAAAAGAATGATACAAACACACCTATGAAAATACCACATACTTGCATGATAAACAGTGCATACAAAAATAATCAAATATAAACTCTAATAAAATTATGAGATGTGATAAAGAAATTGTTTTCTGTTAATAAGTTAAATTTCTAGTTTTTCTTTTTTAAACATTCATTGCATATGTGTCTGTGCATGTGGAGGTCAGAAGGCAACTTGTGGGAACTGATTCTTTCCTTCCACCATGTGGCTCCTGGTACTGATTCAAGTTTTTAGGGTTGGTAGCAGGTGCCTTAGCCCACTGAGCCATTTCTCAGGTCCTAAATTTCTGGTTTCTAAAATGATACAAGCCAGAGTAACTGAAGGGATGACCTCATGCTTCAGACCACTAACAAATGGAAAACATTGTCATAAACCCTGCTATCCTGCGAGGCCCACATTATACAGATCTTTAGAGTGTAATCACCAATCATAGCACATACAGGATTTATTTTTTTAAAGATTTATTTATTTTATGTATGTGAGTACACTGTAACTGTCTTCAGACACACCAGAAGAGGGCATCGGATCCCATTACAGATGGTTGTGAACCACCATGTGGTTGCTGGGAATTGAACTCAGGACCTCTGGAAGAACAGTCAGTGCTCTGGAAGAACAGTCAGTGCTCTTAACCACTGAGCCATCTCTCCAGCCCCCAGATACATGATTTATTGAATCAAGTATGGGGAATGGCTATTTCCCATAGTAAAAGAAAATTGTATGGGACTGGTGTCTGAGTGATAGGCAGAATCCTTGTCTAGCCTACATGAAGACTGACATTCAACCCCCATGTTCCATCTTTATTGCTTACCTTGTCCTTTTTACTTGGGTACCCTATCAGGCCCAACTGGACAGTGTCCTGGCCTCATGCACACAGACTGTAAGTTCAGGGTGCACTTTTCCTTGGCATTTACTTTTCAGGTTACCCAGTGCTCCACAGCTCTTCTTCCCCACAGTCCTGTCAGTCACACAGACCAAAGTCCATGCCTACGTCACAGTGGCAAAAATGACAGTAGTACAATAAACTTGCGCAGACTACACAGTCAAGACTCATGACCCTATCTACAACCACAGGGAGGGAAATAAATAAATGACACTACTGTAGCACCTAGAAGGAGAAGGCTAAGAAGCGTCCTGCTTATCTCAGACACTGCAGCTTTCCATATGGTATAAAGAAAACCTCCATGCTATCGGATTATAAGCATTCCAAGGAGGAGGAGGAAGAGGAGGAGGAAGAAGAGGAGGAGAAGAGGAGGAAGAGGAGGAGGAGGAAGAAGAGGAGGAGGAGAAAGAAGAAGAGGAAGAGGAGGAGGAGGAAGAAGAAGAGGAGGAGGAAGAGGAGGAGGAGGAAGAGGAGGAGGAAGGAGGAAGAAGAGGAGGAGAAAGAGGAGGAAGAGGAGGAAGAGGAGAAGGAAGAAGAGGAGGAAGAAGAGGAGGAGGAGGAGGAGAAAGAAGAGGAGGAGGAAGAGGAAGAGGAGGAGGAGGCATCACTAGTTTCTTCCTTTGGAAAGTTTTGGGAAGGCCAGGAAGATGATTTAATCTGAACATAAAATTTCTTGAGGTTTTCTTCATAGTTTAAAAAATGTTGTAATATTTTTGCCAATAACTACAATTCTGGCTATTCTTAGCACTGTAACTGTGTTCTGTAGGAACACTGGTTTTGCTGTATTTAGAAAAAAAATTCATGATGCATTCATCTGATTTTTATGGCTGTAACAAACTTTCTGAGATTGTGGATTAATAAGAGAAAAAGTTTATTCTTGCTGGTAATTTTGATGATTCAGTTAACAGTTGGCTCCAGTACTCAGAGCCCTCCTTCCAGACAGGCCATGGTAGTGAGAGCAGTGATGTGGAGCAAGGTCCACTCCCCGGGCTGCCAGGGCCCCCCAGGGTCCTTTGTGTGAGCATGTGCTCGCCGACAGAGTCACCGTCTGAGAGGCCCACTGCCTCTCTCTCATCCTAGGGAGCGAGTCTACAGCAGGCCGGCCTCTGAGGGGCACTCAGTAAGTCTATAGACTGTAGCATGTGGTTAAGGTCAGTGACTAATGTAAAGTGAACTCACCTTTCCATTTAACAAGTAACCAGTGAAACCACTACAATATGCGGCTATAACAGCTAATGTAATATTTTGGAGTGATGGACTACTCCAAGCAAAGCGAGCTGATTAGGCTGGGCTTTATGTAACTGGTAACAAAGCTGGAAACACAACCAGTAAAAAAAGTCCAAAAAATTATGTTTTTAGAAAACTGTCCAAAAGATTGTGTTTCTGTTATTAAGTTCAGACGTGAGTCCGCATGACCCATGAGTCCTCTCAAGGCAAAGAGAACAGGATCTGATTTAGAGTAAGCAAAACAGATTGCACAGTGAGGCTTGGCAGCTGAAGCTCCAGTAACAAAGCCAGCATGTGCCTTGGACTTTTACAAGGGTCCGACCCACAAGTCACCACATACCTGTGAGCAGGAGGCAGAGGGCATGTGGGAACACGGAAGCCACTGTGCTTCTCAGGTAGTGAGGAACCTGCAGCCGGCAGCTCAGAGACGTGCTTGTAACTCATTGTGCACACAAGCACGCAACTGAGAGAGTCCCTGAGCTCACGTGTTTCTCCACGGTAGTGTACAGCTCAAGGCTGTAACGCAAGACACCACAAGGCACTTACATTTTCTGGCTTCATGTGATGCTGGAGAGATTTTTGTCCATAGAAGTCATTCAGTAACCACCATCACTGACAATCAAATCTAATTAGCTTTCAAAAATATGCCTGTTAGTTATTAAATTGATGGTTTCTATACTGACTCAAAATATTTCTAATATCATT